CCAACATGGGGTTTAGCAGCTTAACTTTACCCCCTAAATAAAGCTTTGAATAAAGCAATAATTTTGCTACAAAAATCACTGCCCTTGAAAGAAAGGAGTGGCAGTCAGACATCAATGCAAAACTTGGAATGATTAGGTCATAAACATGGCTCTTACAAAAGGTAGCTTATTAGAATATTCCACTTAAGTGGTTACTTTTCTCTTTCCTTTCTGCCATAAAAAAACCTTCCTTTTAAGAATTCTCCTTAAAATTTATACAATTTCAGAAAAGCCTTGTACCCAAAACAAGTGCTAAAATTTAAGAAAAGAAACCTGTGCTAACAACTCTTACAATTCAGATATATATTTTTATAACACCTAAGACTGCAAGAGCTCTTCTATTCAGTAGCTTTCTGGTTTAAGGCAACCTCCATCTCATTCACTTACAAAATGCTTTCTGCCCCTTGAAGGACAAAGATCTCTGAGTTGTTTGGAAATTATTCCAGCCTGAAAACATTCTTCTACAAATCTCTTAAGCACAGAGTATGAATGTGGGACACCCAGATTAATGTCAGGAATTTCACTGTAAATTTTCTCATAACCTCTTTTCATTTGGTCTACAGTAATGGTAGAAGATTTCCAAAGAGATTTTAATAAATCCAAAATCATCTTGAATGCACTTTCGCCAGTTGATTCTAAAACCATTATAACAGGTTCATGTACAAGTTCGTGGTGAAAATGAGGCACTTCCAAGTCCTTAAGCAATGCTCAGCTTCAGATATCTCTCCAGTCAGTACTCTTTCAGCAGCATATCAGTCTCTTTAACGAGGTGACTGACAGACTGCTGCCCGCATCCTGAGCTCTACACGCTGTCTTTACACCTTCTGCCTTTAGACATACTCAGCAGTACAGTGGCCTTATCCAGAGCAGCTGTAGCCTGTACGCAATACACAGTTCCTTTGTAACTATCAATATAGGTATTACATAAAATTCCATCTCCAACAGCTCTAGCAATAAATTGGCCAACCAACTGTTGTGCTCCAGGGGTATCCAATGCTAATTCAGGGAGGACTTTCAACAACTTGTCAAATGATTTTTCCACATCATTTGTGCTCATTATGGTCCCACAGAGGTCAGAAGGACGCTTAGATGTCATTTCTCTGTGACCAACCTTTCCCTCCAGTGCCAAGAAAACTGACAACACTGGTACTCCCTCTTCATTTCACCAAGATTTAAATCTTTCAGCATTTCTGCAACTTCATTGGTATCTCCATGCTCAGAGTATTCCTGTATAATTGGTGTCAACGTCTTCTCAAATGCCCTTTCATCCAAAGGCAAAACTACAGTTTCATAAACATGATTCTGATTGTCATCGTTGTTAGGATCTTTCACCTCCATCTCCTCCACAACATACACCTGCCCAGGTGGACCCCAGACACCTTTGCCTCCTGCACCACCTTTCTTTGGTAGTCCCCTTCTTTTACCAGAGCTAGACTGCCTATTAGCAACTGTCCCTTCAGACAAGTTGGTTGGCACAGTTACTCGGCCTGGAAGTGCTTCCATTATCCCTGACTGAATCGCCTCTGCCAGAGTCCCGGGATGAGTGTTTCCGTAGTCGTCTTTTTGCCTTGGCATTAATTCCAGGAGAATGCTGAAATCCAATTTCCATTCATTTCTTTCCTTATTTCCTCAGTCCCAGTGTTTTCTTCATCACCAGAAAAGAGAGAGTCACTTAAATCATCAGGGGTTCACATTCATTATCTGTCCACTTTCTATTTCCATTGTTTCTTAATTTTACTTGCACTGATTAAACAAATTACCAAATGGAAGTCTTCTGTCAGGATCTAGCTGCATTTTTAGTCACAGATCCGGCGGTGGCCGGTCCTCTCCAGGGCGAGGGGAGACGGGCTACCAGACTTCGGTGCAGTCCTCACTCCGGCCAATCCCTGCGCGCACTTCACAGACCCCAAGTGACACGCGGCACACGCGGGGGGTAGGGAGCCCCCTTCCTGTCTTTGTTTTCTTTACATGATATTTTACTTCAATTTGCCAAAACCCTCCGCTGAAGCCCGGGTGAGGCCAGGCTGGCGCAGAGTCATGTCCACCTCCCCTGGCCCGCAGGCTCCGCCGCCCCTCCCAGGTCGCCGTGCTGCGGTGGGACTGGGGGTCGCCCGGGGACGGGAGGGAGGGTGTGGACCTTCACCCCCAGACCTGGTCTCTTAGGGAGCACTCCGGGGCTGAGGGGCTGCCCAAGGAGGAGCCCCTCGGTGCTCACTAAGTGGGGAGGTCCGGGAACCCGGCCTGGCCCCCCGAGGCGGGACCTGACCCCCGGCCCCAGTGCTTTTCTTATGCATGAGCTTAATGAAGGCATCGAGTTCACACTATATGTACCATTTTGCACGCTGTTCTTTTCTTATGATTTTTTTTTTTTTTTGTACCAGGGGACTTTGCACTTGGGAGGCAGGTGGCAGAACCACTGAGCTAAATCCCCGGCCCTCTGTGATTAAGTTTTAAGCTTCAACTCTTACATACTCCAAGTTGGTGTACCATTTAGTAGCTGCATAATACACTGTGGTGTTCAATCTGTTGAACAGGTGCCATCCTAGTTCTCAGGCCTCATGGAAGAAGATCCATGAAAGGGTATGCAGTCTTCTGATGTCCCACAGAGTCCAGCAGCACCCAAAGGTTAGAGTTTCTGATAAAACTAATCTTTGTTGATGAAATAATTTGGAACTGGAAATTGCAATCTAGTGGGTGAGGTAGGCATTAATCAAGTAAATGAAGAAATAAAATGTAAAATTGTTATATTTACAAATGAGAGTATGTGGTGTTCTGAGTGTATATATCTTAGTTGCTTTCTTGCTAGAACAAAACAACTGACACCTACAAGTTAAAGGAGGAGAGACTTATTTTGGCTGACAGTTTGTAGAGGTTTTAGTACATAGTGAGCTGGTTCCAAGACAGTGTGGCATGGCAGAGGAGGAACAGTCCAAGGCAGGGAATGCAGGAAGCAGGGAGCAAACAAGAGAAGGATATATACCCTTCAAGGCATACCCACAGTGACCCACCTTTTCCCACCAGGCTTTACCTCCCAACATCACACCCAATTATAAACTCATCAGTGGACTAATCCTCTGATGAATATCATTCCAGTCACCTCCTCAAAGTTCCACCTATGAGTGCATCTAAGTAGAACCATAATGGTATGGTAGGGGTATTTGAGTGGTTGGGAGTTATAGCAGGCTCATTGAGGAAGAGACAGAGGAACTTAGATCTGAGGGATGAATGGCAGTTAATATGGTACACAGCATTCATCAAGCAGTGGTCCCAGCATGGGATCCGTTCAAAGAACTGAGAGAAGACAGTCTAACTGGCCTGCATCACGTTCCCTTCGTGTATGCATGGGAATCCCAGTCCAGAGAATACAGTTGTTTGTGTAGTTTGGGTAAGGCCACAAAGTGGAAGAATGTTTTCCTAAAATTTAAATTGGTAGTTTTGGCTGTTTGACTTTTATTGGAGTTTGGGAAGTATTCCTGATCCAATGACAGATATGTCCAATACTTTATATCTGTGACAGACATACAGCTAAATGACCTCTAACTTAATTCAAAGGAATTAAAATGAAAGATCAATGTTTATCCATTCCATGTAGTTGAATTGATCATCTTGACTTATAATTAAATACTGGCATATGCTAGATTTATGGGATGACACTTATAAATGAATATTGGTTATCATAGCTATGGGAGTATTTTTCTCTTCCAAGTAAAGGCATCCCTTTAAAAAGGAAGGAAGGGGGCCTGGGATTTAGCTCAGTGGTTCCGCCACCTGCCTCACAAGCACAAGGTCCCGAGTTTGATCCCTGGTACCAAAAATAAAAAGGAAGGAAGGAAGGAAGGAAGGAAGGAAGGAAGGAAGGAAAGAAGAAACAAAGGGAGGGGGAGGCAGGAGGAAGAAAAGAAGGAATGAAAGAAGGAAGGGAAGAGGGAATCTACATCCACATATAGTGAATCTCGAATATATTATATATATGGAAATCATAGTCTTCATATATGCAAAAAGCTACTCATCTGGATATTACGTATCTCTATTAAATTATGGGCAATGCAATTGCTGGATGTTTTTGTTATAGGAAGACTCTAACTCTGAAGTAACTTATGTCCTTGAAAGAGCAAACTACCCGCTGAAGAAATGCCCACACCATGAAGAGAGATATTTTTAACTGCTGTCTTATGTAAGTAAGCAGCTTAAGTGCTTCATGTCTTGATTTGCTAAAAGAATTTCAGTTTCTTGTTATCAATGAAGTATCTAAAAATGTGGTGGATAGGAGGTATGGAGGAGACCTACAAACTGTACTCTTCCTTCACTTAGTAAAATGATAGTGCATTTGTCTGCCAGCACTATTGCCTCCTGTACTCCCTCTTCTCTCAGTCTTTATCTAAGGGGCCCTCGGACTTCCTTCAGCTCCTTAAACATAAGATCTTTCTGCCTTAAAGTCTTTGCTTACATTGATTTTTTCACCCTATCTAGACTACTTCTTCCTGTTTCTGCCTGGGTAACTTTTGTTTGCCTTTCAGATCTCATGACTTTCTATGATAATCCCCCTTCATCCAATATATATACAATTTAGCACCCTGCACTTTTCTTTCACCATGTATTATTGTTTAAAATCCATGTCTTTTACTAGAATGAAACCTTCATGAGATGAAGGACTCTGTCCCTCTTGTTGCTACTTTACAATCAGTACACAATACAAACAATCCTATTTAACTTTTTAGTCCTAAGGCCTATGTCCTGTATGAGAACTTGCCTTCCTACCCTCACACTGCCACTGTCCATGTATCACTTGACCCTCCATTATGGTTTGAGGCAAGAGAGTCGGCAGACATGTGCTGCATATGGTAAATATTTCTTATAAATGAATGCTGAATGAGGGAAAAATGCAACTGTACAATTTGGATATATAGCAAATAGCCACACTGTGGGGGCATCATCATTTCTTAGGTATACTCTTATGCTATCTTCCTAACTCAGGCCCAGAATAATAACAACTGTTCCTTTTAGGGTGGCATTCTTGCCTGTGGATAGTGGCAAGTTGGATTTCTGTGGACAGGAATGAAGTTGGAAACTTCTGTTCCACCATTTTGCTAACAATACTCTTAGCTCTTCCTTATTACATGCTTCCTAAGTGCCAAGAGCTCATTCAAATACTCCACGTGTGCTAAAGGAGTTCATACTTATTCTCACAACAGTCACCTAGCCTTTTATTAGGTTGCTATCTAGAATATAACTCATGTAAATACCAAATGCCGGATTGCATTGGATTTCAACATGGATGTGTTAGTTACTTTTCTCTTTGCTGAGACAAAATACCTGACCCCCAAAATTAAAGGGGAAAGGACTTATTTAGCTCATGGTTTGTAGAGGCTTCAGTCCATAATCGGCTGGCTCCAAGGCAGAGTAACAAATGGCAGAGGGGCATCACAGAGGAGAAACAGTTCATCACACCCACATACTAGCAAAAGCAATACAAGATCCTTCACAGTGTCTTTCTGTCGCTTTTATTTCATCCAGGGTACCGGGACTATGGTGGTGGCAAACCAATCAGTATACTGATTTAGTAATCACACGCCCTTAATCTTACCATCACATACTCTAGATTCAGACACCTCTGAAAAAGCCACCTATGACCACATGAGGCTTTGTGGGGACTTTAGACCCAAACCATAACAATGGGAAAGATAAGGGAAAAAGGGGAATTGTTTCTTGGGAAATGTATTTCCTGTGTAACAGGAGTCCCCACCCAGTGGTTTTGAATATGCTTGTAAGCCTTTCTTGGAAGTTCTCCATTCTGTCCTTTTTCTAACCCCCACTTTTTGAGTCACAGATTCCTGATGAGCCAGGGATCTTGAAGGGCTATGCTAGGGAAGGGTCTCCTGATTGTATAAAAATCTCAGGTGACTCTGGCTCATTTTAAGCAAAAGAGCATTTATTCTGAGTATCTCAGCACACCCAGGGAAGATCCAAACAAGCAAGGTCAAGTAGATAAATCAAAACAGCAGAGTCACTCCTATAGGTTGGAAAAATCCCAAAGATGGCAAATGTGGTGCACAGTAGTATATTACCATTGCATGTCTTAGTCCTTGCTTTCCTCAAGCACTCTTTCCTGATGGTTTCACGGGTTCCCATACTTTCCCTTCTCCATATCAGCTCTACACTGCTCATCAGCTTTCTCTCCTTTGGCTTTCCAGTGATCTCAAGATCCCAGGGAAATTTAAGAAGTAGATTCTTAACCACAAACACATCAGGAATTCTTGAACCAAAAACAATGAGTGCAATTGTTTGACCAGGTAGAAGTAGGGAATGGATGAAAGAAATGGGTAGAAGGGGTTGAAATATATCCATTTCTCCTTACTCTAGCTGTTTTGGGGCTTTATACTTTTGGCATAAAACAGGTTATCCCTTGTGCATTTTAAGATGGTGATCATTAGTACATACCAAGCAAACCAAACTATCCAAAAAACTCACAAAAACTAAAAACACCTCAGAATATCACTAGTTTTCTTGGAAGGCATGATGATTGCTGTGACCCTTACCAAGCATGTCAGCTGACTAACCTCTAAAAAAATTCCTTCCAAGGAGAGGTGGGTTACAAAGCTGTCTCTGTGAAACTCCTGGTACCCTGAGAAGAGTCAGGTTCTCCACCTATGTGCAGGGAAAGGAGACCGATCACATCCCACCCTCTCTGTGTCTTTTCTGTCCCTATGAGCCTCTGCCTTGGAGCTCAAGTTCTACTGTGTGACTGCCTTCCAGCCAGAAGCACGAGCTGGCCTTTGTGTTATGCTTTCAACTAGATGGTCACTGAGAAACTTGGGCCAGAATTTACTCAGACATAGGCAAGAATTGTGGCCCCCAAACCTGTTCTAAACTTTGAGAGCAGCAAGTAGGAAATACACCAAGAAAAGTAGAAGATAAAGGACAAAAATTAATTGAAGTGTTGCTTTCTGATCCCATCATATTTTATTAGACTTCCAGCTCTTAAAATAGTGGCTTCTATGGCTTCTAATCTCACCTGTCTCCACTGGGCAGAAGCTATTTGACTTCCTCTCACAGGGGCCCCTACACCTCTATCACAACCAAAACTGAAAACAAGCCAGCCTCAGGTGGTAGAGCCAAGCTCCACCATTTAGGGAGCCCCCCTGCCCACTTGGTTACCAGCTTCTTAGGGATACTATTTGATACAATGGATGATGATGCACCTCACTTCATCCAAGGAACTCCTCATCCCATCAGAATCCAACAGACCATACAGGCAGTGACCATGCATAAGAGTCACAAAGCAAATTCCTGGGTCAGCAGTTCGCTAAAATCACCCTGGGGAACTTAAAAAATTTTTGATGCCCATTCTCTATTCTGGAACAATTTATTTTAAGTTTCTGCAAATGGTGCCTGCTATTGGGTTTTTTAATGAGTTTTTTAGGAGCAAATTTAGGATTGAGAATCTCTGTATTTTACTGAGTTTTTTTTAGGATAGGGAATTTGGAACACCCCCCAGTTCCATACTTGACCCTGTCCATGCTCAACAGTAGTTGTTCTGTAGAATATAATTGATCGGGACATGTTTAACAATTCAATCCAACAGGTTTGGGCACATTTGCTGTGTTCCAAGGGCTGTAAGAAATCCTTGCAATCATTCTGGGAGTAGATAACTGAGTATCATCATCCTCATACAAAGAGATCAGATAACTTGCCTAAAGTGGCATAGGTGTGCACTGCCTTGCTCAGCATTGGGGACCTAGGAGAAGAAACTCGCAGACCAGGTGACTCCAGGGCATGGTGGAATGTGAAGATTCGAGTAGTGTGAAATGATCTTTTTCTCTTTGGTTGTGTTGATTATTCACCATTTTCTTAGTACAACATGTTACATGTGATGTTTCAAATTTTGCAGGGAAAAATAAATGAAAGCTGGAGGAGGATCATCAAAAGCTCACTCATGGAGACAACTACATATCCTTGGATAAATGAACAGCAATCCTTTATTGTCTGTATTGAGTTACCAGTTGTCTAACCCCTTTTAAATCAAACCCTGTACTGTTGTTTGTGCCCAGGTAAGAGTTGTTGATTAAAGCGTTGCTGTTTGGGGCTCACATTTTCTTGTCATCTGGAAATTTGTGTTTTATTTTGTGTGTTTGTTTTTAGCATGAAATAGAAAATAATAATAATTGAGTGGCAGATGCTTTTCCATTTGCAAATCCTAGAATTCTAACAAAAATGTCAAGATGCTTTTTCAGCTGTTCTTCATTTTTGGTCATGGTTGTGTTCTTGAAAAATTTGTCCACCTTTCTTTTCTTTTCCTTTCCTTCCCTTCCTTCCCCTCCCAACTTAAATTTTTATATGTGCTAGAAGAAGTTACTGTTTTGAGAAATAACTTGACAAATTCTCCAGGAAAAGACTGTCAATGTGATTTTTGTATTTGTTTATTTTTTAGCGTTAGGCTTGATTTATCTGATGTCCCCTTAAAACTAGGAAAAGAAAGCATTATATCTGGAGAATATAGAATACCTTGTTTTAAAGGTTGAATTTATATGATAAATTTGTAAGATAAGTTCAGTTTCTTTGTACTGTAGCTCAAACTACTTCTGTTCCCTACCCTTTATTCTGGCAATTCTTAATAGGTTAAGATGAGGAACAAAACTTTCTCAAGTATTTCTCTAAAAGAGCTAAGTAGGCTTCACAGGAAGCATTGCCAAAATAAGATTTTTAATGAATTAATAGAGTGCTTTTATGAAATGCTGCACAGTTTGAGGGAGCAGGAAGAGGAAGCTGATGGGAGGAAGGGGAACTAGAGGCACATCTGTTTTCATGGCCATAGAACTACAGAAGAGGTGGCCTGTAAATGGAAATCTTTGCTTTTCCTTCATACTATAAACTTTCACATTTTCTCTACCATACTTGTTATGATCTGAATATTTGTGTCTCCTTAAAATACTAGGAAATGGAGGCTTTTGGAAAGGTGATGAGGTCATGAGGGTGGAGGCCTCATAAATGGGATTAGTCCCATATACAACAGGCCTGAGTGACTTGGCCCTTCTAGCATGCGAAAATGGAGTAAGATGGGGGTATCTGTAAACCAGAAAGAGTGCCCTTAGCAGATTCTAAACTTGCGGGTACCTTGACCTTAGATTTCTGACCTCCAGAACTATGAGAAATAAATTGCTTTTATATGTAAGCTACCCAGTTTATGGTAATTTTGTTATAGCATCCTAAATAGATGAAGATATAAAACCCTTTCAGTATTTATAAGATACAGAGAGAGAGTCAAGTTTTCTTTACTCTTTAAGACCACAGGAATTGGTTTGCTAGGTAAATTAGGAAAGCAAAATTAAAACAGGAAAACTTCTAAAACAAAAAATAATTTATACTCCTCTCAGAATTTTAGGCAAATAAAGGTGTATATTATAATAAGCATTTCACCTGTGGAAGCAGAGAGGACAAGCTCAGCAGAGACAGCCAGCTTAAATTACATGTACTTGTAAATGTTCTTGATGTCTCTGAAACTACAGTTGCTAATTTGCTGTTTAGATGTTACCTCTAAGTTGTCATCAAAAATAAAAAACCACTGTGTTACATTAAAGCCATGATACAATTGTCAGAAGAGTGCTACTTGACATAACCAGATGAAGGAAATCAGCTCTAATGAGTTCATCTTTTATTTCTACTGTTGTTAAATTATACACGGTGACGTTCAGCATTCATGTATTTAAAAAAGTGGAAGTTTCTTTGGCTTACGGTTCTGGAGGCTGGGAAATCCAGTTGAGGGGCCACCTCTGGTGAGCACCTCAGGTTCCATCATCTTCTGGTGAAAGGGCAAGAGGAGACAGAGGGAAGGGGGAAGCTGAAATCATCCTTTCATTAGGAACCCACACCTGTGGTAGCTAACCCATTTCCAGGATAACTGTATTAATCCGTTCACCAAAGAGGTAACCTAATCACCTCTTAAACTAATCAGCACTCTTGCACTGGGGATTGAGTTTCCAATACAGGAACTTTGGGGAACACATCAGCATACATTTTTTGAAATAGTTTGAGCATAACTCTTTAATAAGAGTTAAAATGCCCATTTTTATGTGAAGTCATTTTTTTCTCACCAAGTCATGATTTTTTTCTCACTTTCTGATGTGCAAATTCTGTACTTTTAATTATTTGGTTGGGGTGTTGTATGTGTGTGTGTTGTGACTTTTGTCTAGATGTCCCCCCCAAACCTCATGCAATCTTTTTCGAAGGTAGCTAAATCTGGAATGTGTGATGCTAGGATTAAGGGCATGTGATTACTAAATCACTACATGTGAGTAATTGGTTTGGCACCGACGTAATCGCCGTAGTCTGAATAAGATAAAATGAGCAGAAAGATGCTGTTAAGGTTGTTTTTGCTACCCTGTGGGCGCCATAAGCTGTTTCTCCTCTGTGATGGACCTTCCGCCTCTCTTGTCTCTTTTGCTGCCTTCCTCCGCCATGAACTGTTGGCCCTCAGTCACCCTGCCTTGGAGCCAGCTGATTATGAACTGGAACCTCTACAAACTGTAAGCTAAGGAAACCCTTTCCCTTTTTACTCTGGGTGTTGGGTATTTTGTCTCATCAACAAGAGAAAAGTAACTAACACAGTGTGTGTGTGTGTATGTGTGTGTGTATGTGTATGTGTATGTGTGTGTGTATTAAATCTAGGGCTTTTGCACTAAGCTATATCCAGCCCTTTAAATTTTTTTTTTTAATTTTAGACAAGGTCTTGCTAAGTTATTAAGTTGCCCAGACTGAGCTCAAACTTGGAATCCTCCTGCCTTAGCCTCAAGGAGTGTGGGATTACAAGCCTGTGCCACCATGCCCTTCTAATTATCTATATCTTAACTTTTTAATTCTCAAGAAATTATTTAAGTTTGAGGAGTCATATTGGGCCCAGGATTGCAGTTGAGGTGCTTTGCTTTTGGAATATGTAATAGCGTGAATAATTTTGTGTTGTATTGGGGTTTGGGTCACCATGGGAAGTTCTTTGTCATTAAACACGATAAAAAAGTATTTCCACCTTTCTTGCTTCTGTTTGTAATTCTTTTCTTGAGTTTCACAGTTGTAGATCTGTCAAACTCTAGACCATATTTTATGAGCACACGGGGTCTTGGTTTGCAGAGGATCCTGGGAAAATCTCTTATGTGGAATCTGATCCTGCTAAACAAAAGCTGCTGTACAATGAAGCCATTTCTTTAGATCACCAGACAAGCTGAAACCTGTAGGTCTTGAATTACAAAACAGATTTAAAAAATGAGAGTGTGAATGATATATTTGATATAAAACAGGTGGTTAGTTTTAAGTGTATAATTTGAGAGGCTTGATGGGTTACATGTGTGAGTTCACCCTAACCCCTGAATCCCAGTGTATTCTCAATATAGCCATATTTCCCCTCTATTAGTTCCATTAAAGGGGTCCTCTAGCCTCTCTCAAGGGCAGCCTGAGTGTAACCATTAATTGTAATATGTCAGTTTGACTGGATTAGGAAATGCCTAGCAGATTAGAGGGCACACTTCTAGGTGTGTTCTGCGGGATGTTTCAGAGATGATTGGCATGTAGGCCGGCATACTGATGGGGGAGACCCACCTCAATTGTGGGTGACACCAACCAATAGGCTTGTAGCCTGGGTGAAACAAAAGGGAAAGAAAAAGAAAGTTGGTGTGCATGTTTGAAAAGCTCCATTCTGCTTGAGTGGGTGCATCTTTTGCTACTGCCATGGCCTGTGGGTATCAGACTCCAGTTTTTTCAGTCTTTCAACACAAACTCATATCAGCCACTCTCCAGAGGAGCTTCCAGGCCTTCAGTCTTGGACACATCCTTGATCCCTCTTGTTCTGTGGCTTTCAGCTTCTTGGACTAAGCAGCTACTGGGCCCTGATCAATACACTGAGGAACAGGAGATGTGCTCTGTCCATCCTGTGACCAACAAATCTGCTAGTGCTGCCCGATAGGATGCTGTTCTGCCTGATAAGGGGAGACATTGGGATCTTGGAGGAACCCTCTCTCCTCTCTTTTCTTGTCCTGGGAATCCTGCCAACAATGACAAGAGCTGAAACCCTCTGTTCTCTGGGTCTGGGATCCTTCTGTCCTCCACACTGGGTTTAGGGGTACAAAATTATGGCCATAAATTTTACTTTGCTTATTGGAGGACAGAACCTATGCTCAATTTCACCTTCAGAACTAGAGAATTTGGCCCAAACAGGCTCTTATCTAAGACAGAAGGTCTCTTTTGAGTGCAAATGGGTCCTTTTCAGGATGGCTGGATTGACAGAGCCTTTTCAGCAGAGCGAGGAAGTTCCCAGGCCACATGTTTCCCCTCAGAAAATCTTTTAGAGTGAACCATCACATCTCCCTGTAAGTACATATTTTTTTCCTTTATATTATCTGTATTTCTGAAGTACCCTGTAGCTTGTAGTATAATATCACCCATCCCCGTGGACCCATAAGAATCACCTTCAGGGACTCATGTACTGTCTGTGGCTTTGTGGTGCCCACACTGCTTTGCCTTTTCTCTCAGGTCGTGCTCGCCTATAGAACAGATAATGTATAGTTCATATTGCTTTGTTGGTGTGGGAGGGTCATATGGTGAAGGGATTGTGGGGTGTTTTGATCTCAATACCAGGAAATCTGAGAGGCCTGTCTCAGAAACAGTGAGAGGGATTCAAGAATTTCTATGCCCCTGAGACAAACCAGGACTAGTACTTTTCTCAAATGAAGAGAGTGTAGGTAAACCCTGGAAAGAAAGTGAATTTGCTCTAAGGTAAAGGAGTTGAGAAATACATGTTGGGAGGTCTTGGCCTTTAGTTGAGTTGGTTTGGGGATATTTGTGAACCATTGTAGGTGTGTCATTACATGTTCTCCTTAGCCTGAGTGGGTATAGAGGGTAATTTGTCCTAAATTCTTCCATGCAGGGGACCAGGACAAAGGAAATTTGAGGGGACTTAGAGAATCATGGTCTTTTAAAAACCTTGTCATCTACCTTTGAGAGATCTGGAATGCCAGAAAAGAAATGGGGTAAAAGTTCATTCTTCCTCCCTCCCTGTACACCCCCCCTCTCACTCACTTGTTGCTCTATTTAGTGTCCCAGTTTGAG